TCTACTCCAGCATAGAAGCAATATCAGAGTCCAAATTGGAGTGCAAGTCATCAAATTTTCTGAGCCATAAAAAGCCGACGCGTAATCCGGATGCCTGATGCCGCGTTTCGAATAATTCTTATTCAAGCATGGCTGTAATGGGACTGAAAGCAAATTCAAAGCATATACAAATGAGGATGCATACAGAATGTAAATATTTGAAAAATATATACAAGTGAGAATGCATACAGGATATAATTATTTGAAAAATTTGAAGCTGCAAGGAAAACTCACCCCAGTCTCAAAAGCTGGCATATACTAAGCCAGAATGGTCAGTCAAGGAGGAATAAGGGTCCTTAGCCTGCCATGTGCTGCACCTTAATTTATACCTAATTTCAGGCTGCATCAACACAGGCAAAGTTTCTTAAAGGTCATAGTGCCATGCATACTGCTCAAAAATCAAGAAGCAGCAAGTGCACTGAACTGCCATCACCTAGAACAACATATTCAGGTTTCATTTGAGCAACTATCATTGAATGATATAAGGTGTAAAATCCATGTCTTTAAATTGTAAATGAATCTAGTTTCCTTTTGCAAAAGGATTTGTTCAATGTTTAGTTGTTGGAAGGGCTTTTTTTTGTTGGCAGTATGAAATTATGAACTTCATTTCATTTGCACTATGACCTGCCTGCATGTAATGTCCAACCATTGGTGAATTTTCAACATTATTATTCACTCTGGACCGGTGTTCCAACACCCGAGTCCTAATTGCCCTGAAAAAAAGAGGTCATGGGAAGGCGGAGGGGGGCTTGGATCTCCAAGCCCCATTCAGCCTTCTCCCCCCCCTCCCAAGGCCACGGGAGCCCATTAGAAGGCTGAACGGGGCTTGGATCTCCAAGCCCCTTTCAGCCTTCTCCCCCCCTCCCAATGGAACAGTCTGCTCTTCCCTTAATTTCTGTGTGATTTAGTTTGGTCCTCTTAGAGCTCTTGGTTTACTTTTGTTTTTATATGCTTAATGGACCTGAGAACGTGTCCTTTCAAATGTAAGTCTTCAAGCCTTCCCATGGGCTCCCGTGGGCTTGGGGGGGGGGGGGGAAGGCTGAACAGGACTTGGATCTAAGCCCCGTTCAGCCTTCCCATTACCTCTTTTTTTCAGTATTCGCTCCATAAGATGCACACTTCCCCCCCCCCCCTTTTTGGGGGGGGAAAGTGCGTCTTATGGAGCGAAAAATACGGTAACTTGTCTACAACTGGGAGACCCACAGAGTGCCTAGTGACAAAGAGAGCAATCATAAGCAGGTCTATGCAGTGGGGCCTACTCCAGGGAAGGTATTCTTGGTATGAGCTTTGTGAGTAAGCTAACATTTGCTCCTGTTGTTTTAGAAATCCATGCCAGTTTGGCACCGCCTCCCCTGGATGGGAACCTGTCCATAGCAGAACGGCTGCGGCAACTTCAGTGCTGCCTGGAGGAGTCCAAGAGGGTGTTTTCGCTTGCCATGTACGACTTCGTTCAACACTACAAGACTCTCTTAAAGGCTTGTGGCATCTCTTTGGCAGGCTGTTTCGAGGACCCAAAGGTTTAACGAAGAACCTTTTTGTATTCCTTGCTCCACTTATAGCTAGGCATCATCCTGTAGACCAATTCCCCCCCCCCACGTCCCCTTCGATGTGGCAAAGATCACTTGACCTTTGGTCACTCCTGAAATTATTCAGGAGTGAATTATGTGTAGTGGCTTACTTTTTAATTGTGTGGTCTATCTAAACTCCTAAATCCTGGGTTAACTTTCTGCTAGATTCCCCAGGTGGTCATGGGTTCAAGGGGCTGGAATACAAAATTTGTCCCCCGTATACAAGTCAGATGCGAACTATACAGCATGCTCCATTTTGCTGAAATTTTGCTTCAGTATTGGCCGATTTGCTGTACATGGAAATGTCCTTTTAAAATTTGGTTTGGTTTTTTTTAACTGCTGAATTTTCTAAATGCTCAGACTGGTTCAGAAAGTGCAATTGATATAAAGCACATAGGTAAAGGTAAAGGTTCCCTTGCTCGAAAGCCAGTCGAATCCGACTCTAGGGTTGCGGTGCTCATCTCCGTTTCAAAGCCGAAGAGCCAGCGCTGTCCAAAGACGTTTCCGTGGTCATGTGGCCGGCATGACTAAACACCAAGGCGCACGGAACGCTGTTACCTTCCCACTGAAGCGGCACCTATTTATCTACTTGCAATTTCTTGCTTTCGAACTGCTAGGTTGGCAGGAGCTGGAACTAGAGACGGGAGCTCACTCCGTCATGCGGCACCCGGGTCTCGAACTACTGAACTACTGACCTTCCACAGCCTGCAGTTCAGCGTCTTAACCACTTGAGCCACCGCAGCTCCAATAAAGCACATAGAATCACAATAAAATGGATTGGAAATGGGGAGACAGTGGCAGGATTGCTAGAATTTTAGGAGGGAGACCGGAGCTCAAATCCATTTTTTTTCAGCCATAAATCTAAACATATGGCCTTGGAACACTTACACTCTCAGTCTAACCTACCTCAAAGGGTTGTTGTGAGGAGAAAATGGAGGGAGGGAGCACGTTTTGCTTCTTGGAGGGTGTAGGATAAAAATAATATGGTAGGAAAATAGCAAACGTGTAAACATAAGCTAAATGTACTTCTTCTGTTGCGTGCACGAAGGGGAGGTGTGCTGTCTTCCTTGGTCCCATGACCTGATCCTTCAAATAGTCTTTGTGCTGTGCTGGATTAGGTTTGGCAGAGGTTTCCAGAGAACCAGTTTGGTGTTGTGGTTCGGAGCGCGGACTCTAATCTGAGAGAACCAGGTTTGATTCCCCACTCCTCCACATGCAGCCGCTGGTGTGGCCTTGGGTCAGTCGCAAGTTCTCTCAGAGCTGTTCTCTCACAAGCAGTTCTTGAAAGAGCTCTCTCAGCCCCACCTACCTCACAGGGTGTCTGTTGTGGGAAGGGGAAGGGAAAGGAGATTGTAAAGCGCTCTGAGACTCCTTCGGGTAGTGAAGGGCGGGGCATAAATCCAATCTCCTCTTCCTCCTCCTCCTGTGCTCAAGCTGTCTTCCCAGACACTTCAGTTACCTCAGCTGCACCCTGTACTGGGGAAAGGGACCCCAATGTTCCCTCTAAGCTGTGGAGTCTTGTGAGCAAAAATTCTACTTTGTGAGCTACTGGCACTAAAGTTGTGAGCAAGTGATCTGGCTGCTGCATAACTTAGTTGGCTCTGGAGCCATCCTTCCTGAGTTAAGACAAAAATGCGTGAGCTGGAGGCTAAAAAACTGTGAGCTAGCTCACACTAACTCAGCTTAGAGGGAACACTGCCCAGCAGTGCAGTGGACAGAAAGAGTGACCAAGAGCCACTGTATCACTAGTCAGGGTCAGATCTCCCGAAATGACCACTGCCAAAATCCTTAAATGAACACTGTAAACCAACACAATCCATAAATCCTTCATGCGTTCGTGTGTGGTGGGGGGACTTGTGGGGCAATGGACTTTGTCCCCTTTTTAGGTAATGACCAACTGACCATGGCAAGGGGTACGTAAGCTTGTTCTGCCATCCTCAGGACAGGTTTCCAGTAAAAACACACAAGTCCAGGATGACAGTCCGTATACGTATCAGACTAGGAGCACACAGAGGACCACAGGTGAGGTAGATGTTGAGATCCTTGGCCCAGTTGAGTTGGACTGGTCCTCGGTACCATACCAGCTCAGTTAGCTCGGCAGTCATAAGCAACAGGACAGTCAGGATATTTGATCTGTGACGCTCAGTACCAGTTTGGTGTCCGATAGTAATTTGTGCTGGATGCCCAGCAGAGAAAATGATCTTGGCAGAAACTTGCGCTCCCCCACCTCACCAGCCTGGGAGTGAGGCCATGCAGAGGAATTAGCTGGCTTGCCAGTCTACCCATCCAGGTATCGGTGATACATGCCAGAACACTCGTTGCTTCCAATGTTTAAACTGCAGAGGATGGCTGCCATATGCCATTAATCTGTATCAACCTCATTAATCTGGCATTAATCTGTATGGAGAGCCTCAAAACCACGAAAGGGTTCATAACCAGTTTGGTGTAGTGGTTAGGAGTGCAGACTCTAAATCTGGGAGAACCGGGTTTGACTCCCCACTTCTCCATATGCAGCTGCTGGTGTGACCTTGGGTCAGTCACAAGTTCTCTCAGCTGTTCTCTCGAGCAGTGCTCGAAAGAGCTCTCTCAGCCCCACCTACCTCACAGGGTGTCTGTTGTGGGGAGGGGAAGGGAAAGGAGATTGTAAGCCGTACTGAAGGGCGGGGTATAAATCCAATCTCCTCTTCTTCCTAGGGCGAAGTTCTTCTTTACCTGCTTTTGACAGGGAAGGATGTTTTCATAATCTCTGCAGCTGGTCCTAGCTTTCACAAGATGGACAGCCGTGTTAGTCTGTCTATAGCAGTAGAAAAGAGCAAGAGTCCAGTAGCACCTTAAAGGCTGACAACACTTGTGGCAGAGGAGGAGCTTTTCTGAGTCGTGGCTCACCTCTTCAGATACAGCCAGAATGTGATTCCATCTGTCCTTATGTCTTGGAGAGCGGAGTTATTTCAGACACCGAATGACAACAGCAGGTGAATCCCATGAATTTAAGGTATAAAGACAGAGGGAATCACACTCTAGCTGTATCTGAAGAAGTGAGCAGTGACTCTTGAAAGCTCATCCCCTGCCACAAATTTTGTTAGTCCTTAAGGGCTCCTGGTCTCTTGCTCTTTTCTACCAGCTTTCACAGTGTTCCCTACTAGATTTAGGCCTTCGGGCTAAGCAAGGGCTTACGTGACTATAACCACCTTGAAACCGCAACATATTCACCAAATCTTAAGTGTTTGTGTCAGAGAGCTGGATTCAAGTCCAGGAACACCTTAGAGACCAACAAGATTTCCAGGTTATAAGCAATTGAGAGAGTCAAAAGTTCCCTTTGCCAAATACAAGACGATTTGGTAAGCCCTTGTATCCTGGTGGGAAAGGAGGGAGGGGGTGTTGCAGGGAAGGGGCTCAGGCTGCAGCGATACAATGCAAAATGAAATCAGCTTGATTCGAGCAGAGGGCAGCGATACAATGCAAAATGAAATCAGCTAGATTCGAGCAGAGGGGAAATGCTTGGGGCAGGAAATTAGCATCTGTAGTGGGATAAGAATCCTGCGTCCCTATTTGGCCCTGGGGGGTGGGGTCTAGTATTCTGAATTTATGAATTAACTCAAGTTGCGTCTTTTGGCTTTAGCTGGAGACGTCTTAACTCTTCATTATAAGCCACCTTGGACCATGAGGAAAGGCAGGGTGTACATGTTTTAATCAACTTTACATTTTTATTTTATTGATTTTTATGTGGGTATTCGTAGTTTTGCCTTTTCTGCTAAGGCTTGAGGCAGATTAGATAACAGGATGGGACCCCCAGCAAACAGCGGCATAGGGTTTGAACCGCAGAGATCTGAAAACAAACAGAAATCTCAAACAGAGCAGAAACAAAGGAGGAGTTTTTAAACATGATACGATAAGCGGTCCCCTTTTATTGTCTGGGTAATAACAAGACTGCCCCAGCCCCCAGCTGCTCTCTTATTCAATCCAAAGTCATTCCTCCTAACATCCAGGACTCTTTCCTCCAAACCTGGCTATGTAAGGAGAAACAATGGAAATCCTTTTTCCTTGTGCCGCGTGGTATGTTCTGTGCAGCGTGGTATAGTGGTTAAGAGTGGTGGACTCTAATCTGGAGAACCAGGCTTGATTCCCCGCTCCTCCTCCACATGAAGCCTGCTGGTGACCTTGGGCCATTCACAGTTCTCTCAGAGCTCTTTCAGCCCCGCCTACCTCACAAGGTGCCTGTTACGGGGAGAGAAAGGGAAGGTGATTGTAAACCCCTTTTGAAAGTCCTTATGGTTGAGAAAAGCGGGATATAAAAACCAGCTCTTCTTCTTCTTCCTCACTCCAGGTGGCCTGCTGGCTGCTCGATCCCGGGTCTAAAGAGCGCTCCCTTCACAACATGGTCACCAACTTCCTTCCCCAGGAGCTGCCTTTGCTTGATGGCATTGGGGCAGGCCAAGGGAGGCAGAGCCTGGGGCTCAGCGCCAACGCCAATCAGTCTGGGCGGTACAGGGCAGCCGTGGAGTCTGTGCTGGTCTTCCACGTCATGGATCAACTCAATGCTCAGTTGCGCAAAGATAACTTGCAAGGTATGCAGTCTAGAATTTGTTGACTCAGTGTTACTCTTGGGAAAATATGTTTAGATGACATTAGTATCTCAGAATTCTCAGAAATCTATTTACGATCATAGATCAGAATAAAGCATAGACATAAACATACCTATCATAAAACTAAATATAAAACACTAATATAGTTATTTAAAAGCATTATATAACTTAAAAATACTATATTGCCCTAAAGTAGAACAAATCATACGAACATAGGAGAAGCCAATGTTGGATCAGGCCAATGGCCCATCCAGACCAACACTCTGTCACACAGTGGCCAAAAATACCAGGTGCCATCAGGAGGTCCAGCAGTGGGGCCAGGACACTAGAAGCCCTCCCACTGTTGACCCCCCCCCCCAAGCACCAAGAATA